GATTCAATTCAACTCTAATGATTTGGCTGAAAAATTAGTCGCATTGCGACTTGGATCGATAGAGCATCTAATACTTTGCTATACTATCAACTAATTAGCTAATAATTACGGCGATGGTTGGATTCGCCAGCGGGGCCTAGTTGCACGACAGGGTAAGCGGGGATGCGGCAATGCGGGACTGAACGCTCCGAATATGGTTCGACCCGATCGTCCCAAAACAACCAGGCTTCCATGGCGGCGGCATTACATGCCTCAATCCCCCGAAAGATGGCCTCCACGCGGTCGCCCCATGTCGGCCATGCTTCTTCACTGGCAAGGGCGAGCGCACGGTCCTAAGTTTGCCGCTAAGTTTCCACCTCGACCCTCACGAGCTTGACAAGGCCCACTTGCATATGCCCCCAGAAGGGGTCCAAGGCATCGGCGTGACGTTTTTAGAAATATGTTTGAAGAGGAAGAGATGAAAAGTTTTGCTATTTTTTAAATGTTCATGCAAATTTTATTAAATACTATAATCTATAAAAGGAAAAGAAAAGGTAAAAGTAAAAGTAAAAATGTTTAAAAAAACTTGGAGACCCATGTAAAGAACCGTGTTACGCGTTAAAAACCATACATGTGTTAAGATTGTTTTTTTTAGAAGATCATGTGTTAAGATTGCTAGACCACGGACCATGCCACGTGTGACGTGAGCAAGTGTGCGCTATTTGCCGTTGTGAAAAAATGCGGCAAATGAAATTTGTGATTAGCCACGAATAACTGGTTATGAGTTGGAAGGACACAACTTCCTTGACACATCGCAAGGTGCCATTGGGCCACTGGCATGTCTGACGCAAAAGTGGTACGTCAGGGAATCCTTTTCAAGTTGGAAGCACCCTGCCAATGTTTGTCGACCATGAAACTTAGGGTTCTACCAAATTGCTTGTAGCTTCAACGATTCTCATGTTATGACCTTCTTTTTTATATTGCGAGAATGCAAGCCTTGGCCGTTTTCGCTAGTTGAAGTTGCTTTGATCACTTGACACCTCTATCACCATACATGGAAAACCGTCGTGGAGACCATTTTTTGACCAATTGACACGTTTGAAATCTCTTGTTGATACGGGGCAATAAGCTTCCCAAAACAATGGATTTCAAAAACTAATCATCACTTGATAGCAAAAAAGAAAAGTAATCATCTACTACCACGGGTAGAAGCGACTCTAGCATAGTCGTCATATTTGTGCCCTGTGAGGATATGAAGACTGCAAAGAAAACATACAGACATAGATAGATAAAAAAGGCTGTCTTCATTTTTTTGTTATATAGGTTTTGCTTGTCATTGACTACAACGATCCTTTCACTGTAATAGAAAATTCACGATATATTTGATTCAATTCAACTTCATCTCTAATGATTTGGCTGAAAAATTAGTCGCATTGCGACTTGGATCGATAGAGCATCTAATACTTTGCTATACTATCAACTAATTAGCTAATAATTACGGCGATGGTTGGATTCGCCAGCGGGGCCTAGTTGCACGACAGGGTAAGCGGGGATGCGGCAATGCGGGACTGAACGCTCCGAATATGGTTCGACCCGATCGTCCCAGAACAGCCATGCTTCCGTGGCGGCGGCATTACATGCCTCAATCCCCCGAAAGATGGCCTCCACGCGGTCGCCCCATGTCGGCCATGCTTTTTCACTGGCAAGGGCGAGCGCACGGTCCTAAGTTTGCCGCTAAGTTTCCACCTCGACCCTCACGAGCTTGACAAGGCCCACTTGCATATGCCCCCAGAAGGGGTCCAAGGCATCGGCGTGACGTTTTTAGAAATATGTTTGAAGAGGAAGAGATGAAATGGATGTGGGTTGAGGGGATTTTTGGAGACACTAAAGAGGGCGATGGGAGAGAGAGAGAGAGGAGGCAGCGACAACCTAACCTTTTATAGGCTGATGGGGCCGCCAACCCTCCATTAAGAAAGCAGTTAAGGAGGCCATTGACGGCAAACGACCATCAAGTGGCACGCTTCCTGGTGGAAAACACGGCTGCACTCACACGCTTGCTGATTGCTCACATGACATCTCTCCGGCCGCTTAGACACAAGTCGTGAGATGATGTCGCGTTAGGGTTATCTGACAGGCCGGCCATGGGAATCCGATGAAGCAAACATGACAACAATGGCCAGGTGCCCGTCGGTGATGGTGTGTGAGAGGCCGGGTTGTTTCAAATCTCTCGCGTGAAGGAAGAAGGACAAAGCTAAAACTTGCTTCCCTTGTAGACGATTGGGTATAGAACGAGCTTCATATAAACCTCCCAGCCATCAAGTATGAAGACTACAAGGTCGTTTACGGAGCGAGCTCCATAAATTATGACGGTCCACATCCATATAGCGACTCTGCCAAAATATCATAGTATTCGCCAAAAATCATCATATTAACACGATCGAGGCCGAGCTTTTCTCGACCCACAAGGTTCACCCATAGCCATGAGGTTGGGTCCATCGGGACGGAGTGGCATGTCACAAACTCACATGGTTGTCCGCACGCATTGTAGTGTTGATCCAGCGCGCGGCAGCTCTCCGTGGACACGTGCCGGGCGGGGCTGGCCGGACCGCACCTCCCCTCTATCGGATGGGTGCCGAGCGTGCGGTTTTCCCCCCCACCGTGCCTCCGTTCCCCACCCCAGCTTGCCCTCTCCTCCGCCGTCTCTTCCTCCTCCCCTCCTCTCCTCTCCTCTTCACTCTGTGGAGCCTAGGCTCTTCGCACGGCGCACGCATACGCACCTCACACCAAAACCACCGCTAATTCTCACCCTCCCCATCTCCTCGATTCGATCCGCCCCTCCAAAACCCCAAATTCAGCCGCACAGCACAAATCAATTCCCCATCGCCCCCGTGCCGCGAGCAAACCCTCGAAATTTTGCTGCCTCCGATCGATCCCGTGGCCGGGTAGGGTTTGGGCGGTGGCGGCGGGCTGGGCCGGTGCTGCGCGTGCTCGTGAGGATCGGTACGGGTGTTTGCGAGCTTGGTCTCCACCGCATGCGGCGGATTGGAGGCGGGGCGGCCAGTTAGGGTTAGAACCATGGGGAGCACCGGCGAACCCGATCGGAAGCGGCGGCTCTCTGGCTCCTTTGCGCAGGGTGTTGATGCGGTGCCTCCTGCCAAGCGCCCAGCGCTTCCGCCTTCCTCCGACGACAAGAAGGTATACGCCTCACTCGAAGCCTCTCTAGTAGTCCTCTATTGTCAAGGTATAGGCTACTGTGTGGAGACTTGTTACTCAATTGTATTTCGATCGTGTATCAGGTAGCCCAGGTCCACGAATTTGCTAGGGTAATACATGAATCGATAGGAGATTCTGAAATCTCACTAGCAGCCATTTTACCTCGCAAAAAGACTCATTTTACGTTGGGCTACATCTCCGTTGAAGCCGGCTTTGGCAACCCAGTTACGCCTTGCATGCGCGTCGTACTATAACGGTTGGCATGCCCAAACTTTTTCCGCCGTGATTTTACCTCACTGCAAAGTTTGGTGCACAACATCTCTTCTTACCTTAGCTAGACCCAAATGGTCTTGCTGAAATTGTTCACAATACTGGTCGAATGCCCGTGCATTGCCATGGTACAACAAATTTAGACACAGAAATATTGATTACAATATCATGGATTATAACTGTGTTGTGATCCATATCATCCTGTTCTTGCAAGGTGAACATATATATCATCATGATTTATCTAAAAAGGGTATCCGGTGCTTTCGGCCAAATCTCGCATGACTCGAGGGACATTGACGTCACATTCGTTGTTCCTCTTCATCAGCGTACCAACACACACTTCCCTTGGTCTTAGCCCTCATGTGCGTGCATTGTACACTATTCTTTTGAAGAGCTCACATCTATGGTAAGCGTGTATGCCCATCGCAACGAGCTCTTGCCCAGCAAGGCAAAATCAGTCACTTTGCTCAAAGTTGATCTTTGGTGACACACTTTCTGCAACGGTCTCTGTAGTATGAGAAACTTGCTTGAAAGTAAAATATGACAAAAAAGAGCTTCTCTGATGAAAATGAACCGCCAGTATCACAGTTCATTTCTTGTAATAAAGGCTACAGTCGTGGAAGGTTCATCGTGTGGCCGTGTGGGTGTTGTGCCCAGTCTTGCCATAGCCTCTACCAAAATATAAGACGTTTTTTATATTTTGATACGGAGGGAGTAGTTGTAGATAGAAATCATTTGTCTTACACTACTTGTTAGTAAATCCTATGATTTGGGATAAGCTCAGGCTAGTATAAGCCTTGACGAATGTTGTTGGAACATCAATTGTTTACACATCGCGCATATATGTTTTGAGTACACAACTGTAGGTACAAAACATGTTATTCTTCCATATATTTAAAAAGAAGTAAAATATAGTTCCCTTCCACGTAGTTCTTCAGGAAGCTAGAGTCCACTCCACCATGGATTATGAATCCAAGGACTAGTCAAGACTAGTCTATAGACTAGTCTAGGAGTCTCAACTCCACGGCCGACTACACTTCAGTGTCGACTAGTCTATGAGTTGCAACTTCAGTGTCGACTAGTGTCAATTAGTCACGCTTAGACGCTTAGTCTATGAGTCTCAACCTCGGAACGACTCGTCGACTCGTAAACCCTGCACTCCACGCACTAACAATGTAAAAGCAAAACATGGATCGTAACAGAATGAGCCGTCTTGATCCATGTTTTGCTATCTTGGGCTATGTTTTTAAAGCGTCCCTAAGGCGACGCTTAGGCGTCGAAGCGCTCCCCCTCCGCTTTGGAAAATCGACCGCTTTGGGCGCCTAGGCGTACAAAGCGCCCGCCTAGGCGCCAAAGCGCCCCCCCTCCCTAAGGCGGTAAGGCGTCGCCTTAAAAACATAGATCTTGGGCAAGGTCAGCATTAGCCCATCATTGAGATATTTGGCCAACCAAAAGAGAGGACTAGCCAGGCGGTGATTTCACTATTTTATCCAGATTGATTGTGGCAATTGAATAGGTTCTGAGCTTGGTCGTTGGCCATGGCATTCGTACGAGCTGGCTCGATCGATCGGTTTCTGGCTGCTGGAGCCGAGGGAAGGAGCGCTGGAGCGGCTGAGAGCGGAGGTGTGCGATCCCAAGGTTGGACACGTGGCGCCATCTCGCATTGGGTATGCAGGGCATGAGTCGTGGAGACGGTCTCTGCCGAATTTCCGTTCCAAACCAGTGCGTTTGAGCGGAGAGGTGGAAAGCGAAAAGGACAGAGAGTGGGTTGTGGATGGACAGCACGGTGATGGGACAATTGCAGCCAAAGCGGTACGGTAATTTTAATTTTCAGAACGCCGAGGGACGGTGATTGGCGAGAAGCGGCTGGATTGGTGAGCGGTAGGGAGATTGGGCAACAAAAGGAAGTCGACGGGATACCTTGCGAGCGAGTTTTAAATATTTTATTCGCACTATGTGCTGATGGCAAGGAGAGGACATAAGGGGAGGCTGTGTCGTAAGGTCCCCATTTTTTTTGTTATGAATGCAGTTTTCTATTTTAGGTTCAATAGGTCCCACATGTAAGGGCGCATGAGGGTGGGTGAACTCATCAACTTAAAACTTTAGAAGTAGAATAGATGGAGAATGTTAGATATACACCTTGTTTGAAGTCTCTAGGTAGGCCGCTATAGTTCACGGCAGGAAGGTACACGCCGCATTTCAAGCTGTTAAGTAGTTCACTCTTGCTGGCTGGTTTGTAAAGGCTTGCTACTTTAAGCTTATTTGGATCCTGTATTACGTAGCTGGGGTCAACGACATTACTAGGTTACTTTGTGAATCGCAGGAGCTTCTCAGATCGCAACATAAATTATTTTACCTTGGGCATATCCGGTTTTACCGGATTCGCCAGCCTGCTTGCATTCTGGGTTTACCTTGGGCATTGCATGGGAAACCTACTGACATATGCATGAACGGTTGGCAAATCTGCATTTGTCCACCACTGCGAAGTGTACCGTACAACTTTACTTGTTCACTCCTTTAGTTAGGCCTAAAAAGCCTTGCTGAAATTGTCCATGACATGGTTGGTGTTAGATAGGAAAAGCTGTCTCACTATGAGAGCAAATATAGTATCCATTTAGAGAGATGATTAAGGATACAATAATCGATACTTCTGCAAAACAATTGTCGGATTTTTAATATAGCCTCATTTGGTATATGTTGTGGAATGATGTTTAGGCCACTGTGCATATAGATGTAGAAACGGATATACATCATTGATACACTTGTATTATTTGCCATACTGCTCTCTTCTGGATTTTGTTCTTGCACTGTTCATTACAGCAGTATTGTCAAGCCATGATCATAAATTGGATTTTGTTCCTTGTATTTAAACAAAGAAATCCATGCTGCTTTCATCTCGAATGTTCCTTCTTTTGGCTTTTCGACACTGTAATTTCCATTACTTATTTTCTATATATAGTGTTAATTATAACTTCGTTCTTGGTTGGCAGCTTGATTTTGCTGTAATTAAATACAGAAACCAAAAGCTTTCAGAACAGCTAGAAGTCCATAAGTCTGAGTACCATGCCCTCGAGGGTAAATTTGATGATCTCAAACAGAAACAGAAGTCTCACCATGAGATCCAAGATCTTGTTAACAAGTCATGGCAGCATGTAAGCTAAAACCTTACCTTGTTGTAACTGCAAAAACTACAAGTCTTCCTTTTGTTTACTGTAAATGTTATACTTGAACAGCTTGTGAGAGATTTGAAGGCTATCTCTGTTTGCAAAAGTGGATCCCAAAATTCTTCCTGCAGTGCAGTTCCTAGCAACGAGTCTACGGGTATGTCTTTGTTCTTGCCTGAATTAATTTGATTGTCGGCTAATAATAATTTGTTTCCTCATGCATAAAAATTTGTAATGGAAGCAGTACATGCATCTAACCCTTCCTTCTTAGGATTTGCAAGTTTTTTTTGGGAGGGGAATTTGTAATGGAAGCATTTCATCGTATTTGATTTTTGTCGATTGTTGTGGAATATTCTAAACTTGGATGTCCCAAAAATTACAGATTTAGTTTCTAACTTTCTATTCAGATGGTGCATGCATCCGGAAAGACAAGGACTTCCTTAGCAGGCTCGTTGAGACAGGTGCCACAGAAAGTTCTGGTTGCCATTTGGAAAACCACGTACACTCGTCAACTACTGATGTGCTGCAGAATATCTTGTTCTCATCAAACGATTCATGGCATGCAAACGAGAAGTTACCGTTAGATCACTTTACTGCATTACCCGAAGATGGTTTGTTCTTCACATTTCCTTGGTAATAATTTATTATTAATTACAGCTGAAGGACTGCCAAATTTCTTACCCCTTTGGTAACATTTCCTTGTTTTGCTTCACTGCAGAGCGCATTAAGGAACTGCGAAGTACTGCTAGTGAGATATCACTAGAGCTTAATGATGCTGTACGAGCACTTGGTGATCTCCACTTGAAGCACAGACAGCTGACAGAGAAGCACCATGAAGAGAGATATTTAAATGCTCGAAGCAAAGCTGAACAGAAACGCCTTAAAGGTATCTTGCTTAAACACGAGATGATTTACATACGTGGATACATACGACAGTTTGTTAGTGTCTTACTATATCTATATTATTTTGACACCTTCGATACCTGCCAATATACCCTTCTGATATGCATGACACACGCCTTGTAGTTGAGGGTATCTTCTTGCTTAAACATGAGATGCTTTACATACATGGATGCACATGACACTTAAATCACATTGGATATGTCACCACATCACCCTTTCCCCCAAATCTACCATTGCCTAGCCGTCTACTCTCCCAAAATCCATTCCCACTGCCTTCCCTCTGTGTGTTGCAACCACCATAACCTTCTTCGCCCATCTGCTGCTCTTGCCTCACGTAGTTGCTACTGCTTCCTACCTCTGGTCAGACATTGACAATAGCGAGGTTGATAGAGGATGAGGATAGATAATAGACTGAAGAGAGTTGGAGAGAGATCAGGAGGAATGGAGAGAGGCCAGTGCTGGATTGGGACAAGAAAGGCAACTGGAAAACAGATCTGGATATGTGTGAGAGGCAAAGCCGGGGGTTCCCTCACAACACTGCATGTTGTACTCGGCCAGGATGAGATATGCTGGCTAGGTAGGAATGTTTCTTCTCCTCCACTAACCTGTCTGTACTTACTCCCTCCGGTTGGGTTTATAAGTCGGGCATGGGTTTTTAGGTCTTCAGTTTAACTAGCAAAATGTGTATTATATAAAATATCGATTTAGATTCGTCGTTAAATGAAGTTTCTTACTTATAATTTTTGTGGCATATTAGACATGTTTTATTAGTCAAATCGAACACCTAAAAACCCATGTCTGACTTATAAACCCAACCAGAGGGAGTACGCACAATAATATATCGGTGATCCTTGTTTTTGTGGATTACTGGATCACCTAGCCACACAATGTCCCTTCCACTGATTAGACGAGATTTAACTATTTAGGCAATGTTTGCACAGTATATATGTGCCTATGATGCTGTGTGCAACTAATATTAAGGATCACCATGTTAACTTTACTGAGATGTTTGTTAACTTTTCAAGTGGAGTTGGCAAGTGCTGCTGCTGAGTTGGAAGAAAGCAACCACAAATTGGCAGTTCTCAAAGCACAGGGAGACACGACACATGGAACTCCAATCTTATTTCCAACTTTAGGAAATAAAAGCTTCCCTCAGGATAATGTCAGAGACAAACAAAAGGAATTGCAGGATCTAGGGGCTTCTCACAAGGAGTTTACGGTAAAATATTAAATACTTGTTTTAAACTTCCAGTGTTGCCTATGTTTGCTCTTACCCTAAAGTTGTTGCTTGCTCTATTGTTTGGATCAGGGTCTGATTTCACAACGCCTGGCGGAAATAAGGAGACTTCATGAAGAGAGAATTGAAATTTTGAACAAGTTGGCTACTTTTCAGGTTTGCACACTGATTGTTTAGGTGCCATACAAGTGAAGTAATGCTGTTCTACATTTTTTGAGTGTCTTTCCAGAGTTGATTCATAATAGTATTTTCCGCCCGTGCTTCGCTGCAGCTTTTTTGGATGATGTTTGCTTTCCTATCAAGTACCAACATTAGCGAAAGTAATCCTAGATTATTTCTAGTCTCCAGAGGGCGACATACAGATGTGCCGTTCAAAAATAGATGTTTTTTTGCATAACATGTATGGTTTTGAAATTCCATCCTCTCAACTAAAAGATGTCTGATCAAAGCACCTTTTAATTGTTTAAGAATCTGAGGTTAGCATTTTGGCTACAATTTCAATGTTGACATGGCTTATTTGAGATTCCACCTTGGAGTCAATCTTAGAGTAAAGGAAGATGTGTTCAATAAAATATTCTTGCATATCTTACATTTGCAATTTATGGACAGAACATTTTGACGGATTTGAAGAGCATTTCTTCTTCAAAAGCTTTCCAAGTTCTGAAGGATCAACTCCAGAAGTCACAAGCAGAGTTGGACCACTGCCGGACACTATTAGAGAAATTACAGGTGGTTACTGCTCGTATAATTTACTTCTCATGTATCAAAGAGCCTCAGCTATTTATTTTATGTTTGACTCGGCTTCTACTTGCCTTTTCAGGTTAATAAGGATAAATTGATATGGCAAGAAAGGGAAATTAATGTAAAAGTTGATCTGTCTGGAATTCCTCATAGGGTATCTCTCAATTGCGAGTCAACCCTTGCAGTTTTAGATCAGAATCTGCGGAAAGTAGTTGATGAAAAGAATATGCTTGCACTGAAACTTGAAGAATCTTCGAGAGAACCTGGTATGATGATTCTTGTTTGACTTTGCTAATAGTGTTGAGTTATTCTCTTCTGGCCATATCGGAATCTAAATAAGTAAAAACTTACTATTTTCAGGTCGGAACCAAACCATATCAGAATTTAAAGCGCTGGTGTCATCACTGCCAGAAGAAATGGGCGCTATGCAAACTGAACTATCTAAGTACAAGGATGATGCTTCAGAATTGCATTCTTTACGAGCTGAAGTTCGCTCCATTTCTGATATTCTGGCTAGAAATGTAAATTTCTTGATATGAGCTTGTTGAAGAAGTTAATGAGTGTTTTGTGACTATTTCAATTACGATTAAGCTATTCGTTTTGTGCTTTACAGGAGCATGCCATCAACGAATCATTATGTAAATCCACTCGTGCTGGACCTGAAGCAAGGGATCTACGGTCCAGGGTACTCAATTAAAAAATTGCTGATTTAACTAGCTGCATTGTCTTAGCAGGCATCAGGAAATGGCTTGTTTTAGCTAGATTCTTTGATTTCCATTCATATTGTTTTTATGAATTCTTAAGCCACTGGATTCACATGATTTGTAGGTTCGTGAACTAAGGCAAACGAATTGCGAGTTAAAGCTCTTTGTGGAAATGTATAAGCGCGAATCTACTGATTCAAGGTAGTTTTATTACAGCAGAAACCTTTCATGAAACTACCTCTACAATTTATTGTGTTCCACTCTGCTTGTTCTCCTATTGCCCATTGATCAGATCATCCGAAATAATCTGTTGAGCTTTTAAACATTGTTTACTACCAAATTCATAAGTTCTACTATAACAAACTTTACCATTCTGATGTCCATACCTTATTGTTTTGTGACAGAGATGTGCTGGAGTCGAAAGATAGAGAATACTGTGAATGGGCTCGTGCCCATAGCCTCAAATCTTCTCTTGATGATAGTAGGCTAGAACAGCGTGTTAAGGCAGCCATCGAAGCTGAAGCAACGTCTCAGCAGAGACTAGCAAGTGGTGAAGCTCAGATTGCTGAATTAAGGGGGAAGATGGAGAGTGCCAGAAGGTAAGCCATCACATGTGTTGAAGTAGGCAGAAGCTGGAAACATTATCTATTTTTACTGGTCAAAGTGGTGCTAACTCGTGAACTTTTCTGTGCATTACAGAGATATTGGTAGTTTATCTGAATTATTGAAATCAAAGCATGAAGAAGGTGAAGCGTACCTGTCAGAGATTGAGGTCTGTTTCATCTCTACATCTCTGTAAAATACAGATTATCAGTATTCTACAAATACTTATTTTTGACATTTCAGAGTATTGGGCAAGCATATGAAGATATACAAACACAAAATCAACAATTGCTACAGCAAATTATCGAGAGAGATGACCACAATACAAAGGTAATTCTATGGACTCATTTGCTATTCTTTGTTTGTGCTGATGTATCCTTGTTTTCAACATTAGTGTAACCTTAAAATCACCCACTTCTGTTCACAATAACTCTGATTTCACTTAAAGCTTGTTTGACTTCAGTTCCCATAACCTGCGGACATGCCAATAATAATTTAAATGTGCAACTAGAAGGTTTAGGTTACCACCATGATTTTATCCAGGTTTTCATGTTAGTAACGGTAGTTACGCCATGAGACCGTCCAGATCATTATAATCTCCTGGTAGCCTATTAACAAATAAGTGAGCTTGAGCATCATATTTTTATTTTGAGCATGGAGGACTGTTTATTTGTTGAAAGTTGAAACCAAAGACATTAGTATGAGACGTCATCAGATTTCTGTTTTCAGCATGGAGAATTAATCTCCCACTTAATTTGTTGAAACCAAAGACAGTAGACATTTACAGGAGTTCAACGTAGAAACACCAACACAAACAACTTCTGCTCTACGTGCCAGGTGATTTGCAACACAAATTAGCAGACTGCTAGCCCATGCTTATACGATCGCATATTTCGTTACATTGCAGTCTTTCAGGACACATAACCAAATATCAGCTTCAAGTTCCCTTGTGCCACTATCAACTTAGGCTTGATTCATGAGCACATGCTACCCTTTACAAGCTGAATTTTCATTCTTTGCCATAGGAAAAAGAATTCATACTATCTGGGCACATGGAGCCATTCTCGTTGGGCTTATGCCCTTCGCCCTGATCGGCATCATGTTGTGTTTGGTACGCAGTGCCATTTGCTCTGCCACCATGCTCGATTGAGCTTTGTTATGACCCACATGGCCACATTGTGCTCCACTACTGTGGGATAAAAATGAGTTTTTGCAAGTTAATTTGGTTGCTGTCAAACAGCAGGCCACTGAGCCAGGCACGGTTCACTGATAATCCTGCTTTTCATCTTCATTCCAGCTTAGGGTGTGCATCCGGTAAATCTGTTTTTTTTTTTGGGTAAAAAATGGTTTAGTGCTGTACTCCCTCCGTCCCAAAATAAGTGACTCGACTTTGTACTAACTTTGTACTAAAGCTAGTACAAAGTTGAGTCATTTATTTTGGGACGGAGGGAGTAGTTAATATGGTATTTATTAGGAATATGGATTTACTTTTGTATGCCTAAAAAACAAGTATCTGTTAGTAGATATTACCTCCGTCCCAAATTATTGTCTTAGATTTGTCTAGATACGGATGTATCTAACACTAAACATGTCTAGATACATCCATATCTAGACAAATCTAAGACAAGTAATTCGGGACATGGCCATTGCACTGAGCCGAGCACCACCTGTGAATCCAACGAGATGTCCACAGTGTCAAAGAGATGGTGCTTCTTGTTTGCTGGTGGGGAATAAGATGATTTTGTCACCTGCTGCTACAAGGAAGGCATGGACGAGGCATCCAAGACAGCACTACCGTGCATGGAGGAAACTGACTGGGAGTGCTTTGCTTCTGTTCCTAAGATGAGGCAAGCACTTGTGTTGCGCAATGCAGCAGTTTTTGATTCCATGCACGCCCAAGGTGACCAGATTGGTATCCTCAAAGTGCATTTGGATGTCATCCTCATTATGCCTTGGTCTTCTAGTGAGTGTCCCAAAGCTGGTGCCACATGTATGTGCGAGTGCCATACACATAAAGTGGAAGCCACAACATGGATTTACACCCTCAATTCACATTTTTAGGGCAAAAAAAGGAGACCTTTGACCTCACATCGAGAGGGGAGGTCATGGGACAAATGTTAGGAAGACAACAAACCGCTGGACTCGTTTCAATCTGCAGCAGTTGTGAGGGAGAAGATGTGCTAGGACGGCATCCAGAGCATTGCCATACTACTTGGCTCCGTTTTCTCCAGATCTGAACGTGTGTGTGTTGGGGGGAAGGCAGACAAGAAAGAGAAGGGGATAGAGGAAGAAGATGGGAGAAAAGAGGAGATGCAAAAAACATACTAGTATATTGAATTATTCTTTGAGCCAATTCGGTGGCACCTAGACGATTCTAGGCCACTTTAGTGTCTCAGGGACACCTCACGGAAAAATGGAACCAAACTGTGGAAGTGGGTTTTGGCTAGACTGAGATAAATCTAGGTGGCTGGAGAAGTAAAAGGCGAGTTGTGGTGGTTGAGTGAGATAAAGGCCGCAACTACAATGCATTTTGCTATTTCCTAATCTACGATGCTACATACTGAAGTTGTGTAGAAAACCTCAAATTAGTAATTTGTGTGCATATTTGGTTGATTAATCAGATTAGCATAACTGCACAAGAAAAATCAACCATGGTCATTCAAGAGTCATGTTTGTCTTTATTCGTTGGGGATGAAATTATAAGGATCTTTTTAAACAGCGACTATTGAAGCCTCTACATGTTACTGCAGATCTTTATGGAAGGCGTTAAGGTGAAACAGGCACAGGATACTTTGCATTTAGAGTTATGCAATCTGAACAGGAATTTACGGCAGGCAAAGGGTTTGATGGATCTGTACAAAGATAAAATCGCCCAGTTAGACGACAAGGTAAATTTAAACGCATAAATGTAGGGAGAACATTCTGTTTTAGCGAGTGCTTGACACACATGTTTTTCCTTGCCCATTTGCAGTTAAAAGTTTGGTCAGAGCAGACAGCGAGACTTTCGGAGGATGGACGGCGACATTCTGTTTCTTCAGGCAATGCTCAAAGAAAGCTGGCGGATGTATTGGGAGAGGCTCAACAATTGAGACAGTCCATGGATCAAGTACAATCCAATGTTGGGAGGAGTCGACTAGGAGTTGCTGGGCTTCTTGTAGAACTAGAGAAGGATAGGTAATTGTTTGCAGAGATTTATTTTTCCACACTCCATGTGATCTTCAGGTTTCTTGACGTCACAAGTGTAATGATGTTTTTCCAGGTTTAGTAAGAGGAGAACTGAGGACGATTTGGAATCGTTATCAAGGAAAGCTAGTTCTCTTAGAGCAAAGACAGAGGGATCGTCGGTGTTGGAAAAGGTTCATCAGGAGGTGAATGAGTACAGGGGAATATTGAAATGTGGTGTCTGTCGCGACCGACAGAAAGAGGTGAATACCGTTGCCTTCATTTCCTACAACCTTGGTCACCATATCGAATCTGAACTTGTTCTCCCATGTCGTTTAGGTCGTGATTACCAAGTGCTACCATCTTTTCTGCAACGACTGTATACAGAAGTTGCTCAGAAACCGCCAGCGAAGGTGCCCTTCCTGTGCATTAAGCTTTGGGGCTAATGATGTGAAGCCGATTTATATATGATGCAGCGGTGGCAGCTGTCGTGGGTCATCTAGGACAAGTGACTGAACGCCCCATGTTTGGGGTTCTTGGTGGCATGATCCTTCAGTCGGAAATTGTAGCTTAAATTTCTGCAAGGCGGACCCATAGCATACGTTAGGCTGCCGGCACAATGCCTGTGGCTTATGCTATGCAAGTGTGTCTTCCCGCTCCTTTGTAAAGTGTGGAATTTTCTTGTTGAAATAGCTGCTAGTCTTAGCTTGCATATACAATGTGTTATTTTGCTTGACATATCCAAGGATGAGGAGTTTGTGACTCCGAAAACATACCATAGGTTGTATTGACATATATGGATGGATTGTAGTTCCTTTTGTTGTAGGTGATGTTGAGTATGTAGCTTTTGGCCGTTCGTTTCAGCTTGTACTTTGTACATTTATTATCCTAGTGGGCTCTTTGCTGATAGTGATAGATATCTCCGGTGAAATGCTGTTTCTTAGTACTTCCTCTGTAAAGAAATATAAGAGCGTTTAGATATAAACGCTCTTATTTTCTTTACAGAGGGAATACCAAGAATTGACAAGGATCCAGGTTTGCTGTAGCAGGCTTAGATGGGCATGTTGCATGACTATAATTCTGGTTTTTACTTTCTTAACATGCATGCTCCGTTTTCCTTTTTCTTTTTTCTGCAAGAAAACACTCTGGTTGTGTGCAAGAGGAGAGGGCATCGATGTTGGTACATTCGTAGTGTGGAGACAGGTTGGTAAAGATGGCAGGGGCATCAACCTTTCTCCCTGTCTCTCATTTGTCATACGGGTACACTGGTAAGTTATGTCGCATTGATTGCAAGGATTGAAGGCTTGATATGCTCTGCTACATCATCTCACGGGACTCGGTTCTGTCGTGTGGTGTAGCTGGTTTCGACGGCGTCATGACTATGCACTTTGAAAGCATAACACTGCCTCATCTGTGTCGCTGCAGATTCCCAACAGTGCTTAAGCTCCTCGAGGCCACTGGATGCTGACCAATGGGCAACTTTAGATTCAGAGTAGACAGACCCCCCGTTCCTGCTCCGGACGGCCCACCGTACTCCCCCCGCGGTTTTCAAAGCCCTTGTCCACTGGTTTTACCACGGAAGAGCCGCCCCGCCGGCTCGCTTCAGTCGCCTGCGGCTGCATCACCCGGCCGGCCCATCGAGCTTAGGGCCAGTTCTTCTCGCAGCTTAAAAAATAAGCTGTCTTCTCTTCAGCTTTTTTTATAAGCCGTCTTTCTGATACATTAATTAAGACTTCTAAACTAGTTATGGAATAACTAATACCGATAGGAGCAATCTATCTATATCCTAATTAAAAGCTTAACTATGAGCGCACGGTTGGCGGTAGTCTAGCCAAACCATACCGTGGCGCCACGGGCGACCGCAGCGGTGCACGCATTGAGCACCGATCCGCCGGACGCCAAGGTTAGTTGGTAAACCATGCGAGTCGTACGTGACAAACTCGTTTCACTTAACAGTGACGCGGACAGCACATTGCCTTCCTTTCGGAGAATAATAGTGCGGGCCACGCCGCTGCCGCTGCCGCCGGGCTCAACGAACGGGCGCACGAAATCTTGGCCCCTCGAGACGGGACGACGGGGCCGGCCAGTGCGTCGGCACTCGATCGGGTCGCACTGTTGCTTTCGATCGTAATAAATACGAGCGCTACCGCCACGATTATTTGCCGGGTGGGCCATAGCCAGAGCCATTCCTGCGTGTATCCCGATAGATCTCACCTACGTGGAAGTGCACCGTACAACTTTTATTCAATTTGGCAGGCAGGGCGGCGAGTGAGGAGCCGGGTGACGTAGGCAATGAATGAGTGCTGGTGGTAATTGTTAGAATAAATTCGAGGCATATCGTTGATCATCCGAGGACTAAGCAATCACACGAGCACAACACCGAGATTTGTTAACGAGGTTCATCGATATAGCTATATCCCTGGGGCTTGAGTACGGACGACTCCTCCCTGTGACACCGTCATAATACCGCACACCGGCCACCCGGGCGCCGGCACACGCCGCCAGCTCTCCCTTGCGCGCCTGTGCTATTATGTTGGCATAGGTTACATCGTGTGTTTAGCCCCGCTATATATGAGAGGCCTAGGATACAAGTGTCCTACTTGGACACGACTCCATATCCTATCTAAACACAATACAACTACAAGTCCAACTGTAACCTACCTTGTACACAATATTCGACACAACTCTAACAAACTCCACCTTGACGAATATTCTCCACCACCTTGAATTCGTTAATGCGTCAAGCTTCCATGTACATTGGACTTGACCTTATCCCATGAGTACCGCTGCTACTTCAAAGACTCCATATGACCCCACCCGCAACTTGTAGTCCCTCTTTTTCTTGACCGCAGTCAACACTCGAGCAAAATTAAGTTCCTTGTTACTCTAGTTTGTGCTTCCAACTTCCAGAGCATCAGTCTAACGCCATCACACACTGATCACTGACCTGCGTGAAAGTGAACAACTCACATATTGGGTGTCACACATAAGAGTTACCTGAACTCAACATCACCGCTCCTTTCTTGACCGCCTGTCTGAAACTTGAAGGAATTTCACCATTGCTTGTAGTCACCCCGAGTCAAATTCGCAGTTGTCTCACCACATGTATGACCACCAGAGCCCTGGCCCGTCTCCATGTCCCGTGCGTACCGCACACCTCGCCGCTATTACCGCGTCGAGCCTCCACTGTCCTGGTCGAGTCTCAAGGGTCGCAAACCACACCACTCAACCCCCACTACAGAGTACCACCGATCATCACCGACCGATGACGAGTTTCACACTTTCATCAGACCCTTGGGCTCCAGTCCGAATTGTGTGTCACTCGCTTTTCCCCTTGCTGAATAGGCTTCGATTTCCTGGATCCTTACACCGTAGCCCCTCAATCCAGCTCCACCTTCAACATGACTCCATGGTAGATGATTGGTCCACCCTCACGCCCCGTCGACTTCAAGCTCCGTGTGTACATCACCTTGAATCAACCCCGCGTCATAGTCTTGTCGAAGCCACACAAGTCCTCGGACCTGCGCCACGTGTTTCCACGCCCAAAAGTCGGTCACCATCAGCATCACGCTCCTATGTCGTCGTCGTTGATCCAACCACCGTCTTCTGTACCAATCGACCTGTGTCGATCCGTCAAACTGACAAGTCTGAGCCAGCCGAAGTTGTCCGACTGTAACCATACTCCACCTCACGCTGTGTTAGCCCAACACACCACGCACATTGCTCGACGCCCTGTAGAACATGATCCTGACACACACACACTTCAGACTCCTTCGAGACTTATGTGCATGTTTCCAACCTGCCCACCTCCCAGTAAAACACCGTGTGCAATTAGCAATCCATCAAAGAAAAAAAATCGCTTCCATGGTAGCTCCTGTAGCCGCACCAAGTGCATGACTCCGCAACTCCCAATGCTTCCTTTTTCCTTATCCAATTGCTGTCCTTGCCACGTCAATTACCATAGTGCTACAGATCTCTTATTTTTTTTTTCTCAAACCAATCCCGTGTCCAGCTCCTGCCGCTCATGAACCTCTCCAACACATGCAACGCGCACGCTAGTCTCCTGGGCCTTGGGCCGCCTGTCACGCGCCGTTGCCTCTGAAGAATCCTGTCGCCGCACACTGCATGACGCCGTTGTCTTTGTGTTCCCCTGATCGCCACGTCTCCTGCCCACTCGCCGAGACCGATTCGATCTAGGACGTCGATGCTTACGGCCGCCTGCTGCTCCGATTGCTATTACGCCGTCTGAATAGATCTAGTTGCCACCGTTCCGATCCGTCCATCGGTTTCAACTCCACAACCGTGATCTTTCGACTTCGCTTCCTCTAGATCAACCACCACTGCCTCTTTCGAACCTTACTCATGATAACACTTGTTAGAATAAATCCGAGACATACCATTAATCATCCGAGGACTAAGCAATCACACGAGCACGACACCGAGATTTGTTAACGAGGTTCACCGATATGGCTACATCCTCTGGGCTTGACTACGGGCGTTCCTTCCCGTAACACCGTCACAATACCACACACTGGCCACCCGGGCACCGGCACATGCCGCCGGCTCCCCCTTGCGCGCCTGTGCTATTATGCGGCATATGTTACATCGTGTGTCTAGCCCCGCTATATATGAGAAACCTAGGATACAAGTGTCTTACCTGGACACGACTCCATATCCTATCTAAACACAATACAACTACAAGTTCAACTGTAACCTACCTTGTGCACAATATTCGACACAACTCTAACAGTAATATACGAGCAAATGAACAACAGTGACCACTTGACGTAGGAAATCACTGTTCATTTTCTTCGGCCCCGGGCGGTGCACCGTGGACCTTGCCCTTGGGCAGGCAGCCACATGATCGAAATCGAACTACCGCGGCGCAGAGCCACCGATGCTTTTAGTACATGGATGTCGATTGACGTATAAGTAGATCACTTTTGTTCGTCGTCCATTTTATTTTCAATCGTCCACGAGCGACTGCATGGCGGCAGCTAGCTAGCTAGCTATCGGGTGGGGGAGAAGGCGAGCCAGTGTCAGCGTCAACTGCCCTGGGCACACGCACGCAGCTGCAGCTGTAAAAGGGAGGAGCTTTGGCACGTACCACATCAATGAATGCGCTCCTTCCGTGCTCCCAGCCGGGACCATAGATTTTTTATTTTTTGCCATACTTGTGGCTCTTGAGATGCCGCACAGAGCAACCCATTTATGCGCACACTCCCTCCGTGCATGGTAACAATGCCGCCTCCCTACCACACCACTAGCGCTCGATCGCACACCACACCATGCAACGCATGCATGAATGCCATGTAATGTTGACCCCAGCACAAGCCGCCACTGTGCGCCCTCCCTCCCATCCACCAGGAAAATGGGGAAGCTGCACTGTGCGAGCCCGGGGCCGGGCGGGGAGGGAGGGGTCGACGTGGTGGGGGAGAGGAACAGCCAGCGGCGCCAGCCGAATCGGATGGATGGCTCCTCCAATGCGGGGGGCGCACGGCGGATTCCCTCGGCTCGTGGCCACGGGATCGCGCGGCAGCACAGGGTTTCCACGGGCCACCGTACCGTCGGTCCGTCCATCAGGTGACGACGCAGACCCGCGCGTACAGTGGCACGGGGGTCGGGGGCCTTGGCGTCCCGCGTGACAGCACACGAGCCCCGGCGCGGAAAAAATGCTACTAGGAGCGAAAACGATGGCGAGCCGTACGTGCGGTGCTGTGCATGCCCAACTTGCGTTGTAATCGGGTCCATTTCGTGGCGCTGTACGCGTACGCATACGCCGCGGGGTGTGCGTACGTACATTTTTGTGCATACTCGCCTTTTCCTCTTTTGGTGATGATTACGTCTACGATCGACGATAGTATCTGCGTACACGCAAGCAAAAAAATTCTTACCAGTTCAATATCGTGAGGGCTGTTTGTGTATAGCTTGGTCTCAAAAATGAAAAGAATAGACCTAATGGGATATAGGGGCATCTTCCTTTCCACCTATCGGTTGTCTATCTTCATGATGAGCAGAGATAGGCCGGGGCGAGACGTGTACCCAAGTATCCAATCTGCTGCTGAGGATGGACTAAAGACTAAAGACGTCCCTAGACTCTTTTTTCTTTGCCCCACGTAAGCTTCAGCCCACTATTTCTCTGTTGCCTCTTCACCCGCACAACGCAAACATAAGGAATCCATCTAATCTCTCGGCGCCTTTGATCCACGTCATTATGCGCGATCCCTTTATTCACCTTGTCTCTATGTATAGGTGCTCCCATCAACACTGGACTTTAGCGGGGGTGGTGGGTAGGGCGTTCTTTTCTTATAGTACAGTATACACTAGTACGCACGCCTGGTCTACTCCGCTACACAATAGTAGTAGTGTACTACTACTATATAGTAGTCACACAAACGTGCACGAGCTAGGCAGGTCTCATCGTCCTCCCTCAGAATGTACCA